AGACTGTTTGTTTGCCTTGTATTCCAAGCTCAATTGTATCAACAAAATGAACTCCTGTTCATTTCTTTGAATGACCTTTCGCCCAGTTCCTGCATGCGACTCTCTGATCCCACCCTCCCTCCCCACCAAAAAAAGAACAACCTCTCCCTGAAGAAGCACGCTTCTTACTGAGACGAGTTCACCTGCTCCCCCAAACACGCGTTCTTCAACGCCGGCCCGCCCGGTCCTAGGATAGCACTCCGGTCGTCCGAGGTGAGCCCGCTCAGGCTGGGCTCCGGCGCCTTCTGAGCCCTGAGAGCGGCACGCGTGCCCAGCACGTGGCGCCGCGACCCGCGGCGTTCGAAAGAGATGGTGTTCGGGCAGGAAGACATCGGACAAAGCTTCAACAAATGTACGTGGGCATTACGTGGTTACAGTAAATGAAATTGGTTAAAATGAACATGGAAGTTGAACATGGTGTTTTTTCATGAAATCTGAGGGGATGTGTTTCGGGCTTCCATCCCGAAGTCTTCTTCTCGCAACTCCAAGCGTCTGCTCGCCCCATTGTTTCCAGATGGTTGCATAGTCTGCCTCCTGGATGCAGAAGGACACGCGTGGTGACTCGACCAGAACCTAAACCGTAGGAAAGGACACGAAGGAAGCTACTGTAAGTATTGTGTATTGAAATCAGGGGACCCCCCGGTTGGGACGTCAAAGACCGGGCGGTTTTTGTCCGAGTGACCACTCTGTTTAGTCATCGGTTATCTGTCTGCTGGATCCATCGCGGTCGCCCGAATTCGACCGAGCTCCTTTTCTTTGCCGTTGCGCTTTTTCTTCGTTTTCGTCTCGAATTATATAAGCAAATGTTGTTCCAGACTCTTGCCAGCTTCGTGGTCAAGCTATCTCAAATTCAAATTCAAATGGTTGCATGCCCAATATCACCTGCGCCACTTCGAAGTGGTCCCTCATCATTGCCAAGTCCAACGGTGTTGAGCCATTCTTTTGTTTGGCGTTCCTGTCAGCACCGGCCTCCACCAGCACTTTCGCCACTTCCGACTGGCCCAGAGCACCGGCCACATGCAAAGGTGTTGAGCCAATGCGCATTTCAGCTTCAATGTCAGCCCTAGCTTCCAGCAGCTCTTTCACTACTCTCACGTAGCCAAAGTGAGTCGCCAAATGAAGGGGTGTTTGGCCGCCATCATGCATCCCAAGCTCCATGTTAGCGCCTGCGTTCACCAGCAAGCGAACCACCTCCAAGTTGTCACTCTGAGCTGCCACGTGCAAAGCTGTTGCCCCAGCTTTCTGTGCAAGATCTGTGTTTGCACCACTCTCCAGAAGCAATCGCACAACTTCCACATGGCTATTCTGGGATGCCAATTGCAGAGGTGTTGTGCCATCTTTGTCTGCAGCATCCTTTTCAACCCCAGCCTCCAGCAGCATTTGCACCACTTTGGATTGGCCAGTCTGAGCTGCCACAATCAAAGCTGTTGACCCCACTCGCATTCTAGCATTCTTTTCAACGCCCGTCTCCAGCAGCAATCGCACCAGGTCCAGCTCCTTGTTGAAGACTGCCACATGCAACGCTCTTGAGCCATCCGTTTCTGCAGCCTCCTTGTCAGCACCCGCATCCAGCAGCATTTGCACCACGTCCCGGTGGCCATTCTGAACAGCAAAATGCAGAGCTGTTGAACCAGCATCTCGCGTCGCAGCATCCAATTCAGCACCAGCCTCCAGCAGCAATCGCGCCACTCCGGAGTGGCCGTTCTGGGCTGCCACGTGCAAGGCTGTTGCCCCGATCTGAAGTTTGGCGTCCTTTTCAGCACCACTCTCCAGAAGAAATCGCACCATGTCCGAGTGGCCACCCTGAGCTGCCAAAAGCAAAGCTGTTGCCCCATCGTGCATCACAGCATCCACTTTAGCCTTAGCCTCCAGCAGTAGTCGCACCATTTCTAAGTGGCCGTTTTCGGCTGCCACATGCACCCCGGTTCCGCGGATTGGATGCCTCTGGTTGGGGTCTTGTGGGGTGGCCAGCAGAATTTCAATTGCATTCAATTTGTTCCTTCCACACGCATGAACAAATGCTGTGGTGCATTCGGCATTCGCCGGCTGAAAGTCTAAGATTAGCATCCGCAGAGTCTGCGGTGGGGTCAAGCGAGCATGGTCCTGCAGCTCTCCAGGCTCATCGAGAATTCTGAGGCGAAATCTTGTGGTATTGGTCTCATGAGCCAAGAACTTTTTCAGCGCCCCCACAGGTTTCTCGCTTTCCACAATCGAGCGCAGCTCCTCTCCATCCAGATTGGCCACTAGCTCGCCAGACAAAGCAAAAATCTGCAGCATTGCTGCCAAGACCTTGAGCCCCAGTGTAAGCAAATGTTATATCATCCATACTCAGAGCTAAGATCTAGAATGCCGTTACAAATGTACAAGTTGACAAAGTGTATTGTTGAAGGCATGTACAAGGATTGATCGTTCAAATCCTTTCATCTCGGAGTCATCTCATTCTTTTTCCCGTAAGAGACCTCGTTGGGGATTGCAGAGATCGGGTGAAGTTTGGGAAGGGATTTTCAGACGTGTCACCGCCTGCGGGCGGTGGCATGCGGTGGCCTTTGAGACGGGAGCGCTGTCTCCAACGTGGGGAGAGCTGTCTGTCGTGTCGGCGTGGGAAGGATGCTTTATATAGCTTGATTGCTTGATGATCACCAAGTTACCAAGTTGTTAAGATGTCTATATTAACATTGGTGCTGACAGAAACAAAGAGCAAAGGGACAACATCAGAACAGGGTTACTGCAAGTGACGGAGTGACCTGCTATGAAGAACAGCAAGGACAAGCACAAAAGAAACACCAAAAGTTGAAATGGAATATTGGAAACATGAAAGGAAAAGCGAATAGGAGGAAAGGGCATCGCTACTAGAAACTGCAAATAGTCGAAACCCTCCTGTTGTTGCTACGAAAACGCACCGAGCAACCGGGGGTTCCTGGCCGAGTTCACCGCGAGAACGTCAGTCTTGGCTCCTTCTCCGGCGTCTGCAGGAAGTCCGGAAGCCCTTCCGGCCGCGGCACCTCAGGAAGGAAGGCACAGAGCTATGTCATCACTTAAGGACCGCTGACCTCCCACAAGTCTCGCTGCTTCTGCTGCTGATGATGACGATGATGACGATGACGATGGTGATGACCATGATGATGATGATGATGATGATGATGATGATGATGATGATGAGGAGGAGGAGGAGGAGGAGGATGAGGATGAGGATGAGGATGATGCTGATGATGATGCTGATGATGATGATGATGCATGAGGATGATGAGGATGATGATGCTGATGATGCTGATGATGATGATGATGATGCTGATGATGATGCTGATGATGATGCTGATGATAATGCTGATGATACTGATGATGCTGATGCTGCTGATGATGTTGCTGCTGCTGCTGTTGATGATGATGATGAGGAGGAGGAGGAGGAGGATGAGGATGCTGATGATGATGATGATGATGCTGATGCTGATGCTGATTCTGATGATGACGATGATGATGATGATGATGATGATGATGATGCTGATGCTGATGCTGATGCTGATGCTGATGCTGATGATGATGATGATGATGATGATGATGATGATAACCAACAAATAAACGTGGCAACAAAAAGACGTCAGGCCTTCACTTGCGCGTAGGCAGGCGAGCCCAAGAACATGGCCAACCTGAGTCTTCAAAGGCTCAGGTTTGTAAATACATTGCATAACACCTGCAGAAGTTCCCCCTTGGTTTGGGCTGTGGGTCGAAGACCTTCAGACAGACTCGGTAACTTGGCTGCATGAGGCTACGGCATGGTGGGTTGACGCAACGAAGCTAAAAGAAACAAACGAAACTTCGAGAGATCTGTTTGAGACAAGTGACGTTGCTGCTGCCTGCGACTCCTTGACCTGCGCAACTCCACTTGGTGTGAGGAGCTGAGGTTGGACAGCTCCTCTTCACTGTTTTCAATGTCATTCGCTCGGCTTGGATGATTTGCTGGTGTGAAAACAAAAAGAACACCTGGGGTGCGCAGCTGAATCTTGGGCAGCGCCATCAGATCGCCGAAAAACACACCCTCGGCCATTTTTGGGCCACCAGAAAAGGAAGAGAATCCTCTCTCTGGACATCTCACCCGTGCCTTGGGTTGAGGTACAAAGGCCAGCCTGGTCGCGAGGGCGGCGTCAAATAACCATCGGCAGCAATGTTTGGCATCAACACATCAAGATGCGTCTGCTAAGCAAAAACAGGTGTCTCTTCCTGTCATGTCAGCTTCTTCCAACGCCTCGGCATCACCGCTGCGCCCAGAAGGAGCCTCAGCATAGCAAGTGAGTCAACATCTCACTTGGACTAGTGACTACTTCGAGTCCACTGATCCGTTCTCCAAGTCTCGTTGGGAAAGCAACGTATCCAACCTTCCCTCAAATCATTGTGTGATCGAACGGTGCAACAGTGCAATCCATTAAGCACGCCTTTGGGGCTGTACTTTAGTAGCCACTTTAGTAGCCTACGGGCATGCACTATTTCCTTATCAGCATCCGCTTGTGAACAAGACAGGGGCCGGGCCCGGGCCCGGAAAGAAGATATCATGCGATCTGCGAACTGCGGTCCCTCAAGATAGATGTACCAACTGTTAGACTGTACCAAATGAATTCCGCCGCTCATTTTTTAGCTGCCCTCCCAATGCAACGAGCGACAGCAGGTAGCTCAGTAGACTTCGTGCTCTGGCCGCCATGGTGTTCTCTTGACCGGCTGCTGTTGGTGGATGTTTGGATGCGTCTGACGGTTGGGAAATCTGTGAAAGCGGTTGCATGAGTTCATCCTCTCCTGGAGCCCACACACAACAAAGAAGAGCGGCTTCTCGTGGCCACTACATCTAAGGATGGATGGCTTAAATCGAACAATCCCAACAAGAACTGATGTCCTTCTGTATTTACCATGAAGATTTTGCCGGCACCCAAACCACGGGTGTCATGGGGACGTCTGTGACCACGTCTTGCACCAGCCTGCCGTCGAGTGTACTGCACCTGGCTGGCAGAGTCGGTCGGACCAATTTGACCAGCTTCTTGTTCCTGTAATGCCAGGAGCTAGCCTCTTGCTACTAGTAGTAATGCCCTTGTTACTAGTAGCGATGCCCTTGCTCCTAGTAGTGGCCTCCCTATTTTGCTACCAGGACCATTTGACCAATTGGGAAACGTTCTCCCACTGCACACGGGCCATGGAGCGCTGACACGCTCAGTAGCAAGAAGCTACTAGTAGCTAGTAGCGATGCCCTTACTACTAGTAGCTTCTTGCTCCTAGTAGTAAGGCCAGGAGCCCCCAGCAGCGTCCTTGCTCCTAGTAGCGATGCCCTTTGCTCCTAGTAGCTTGTTTTCCCACCTCAGAGTGGCATTGACTCTCACAGGTCTTCGTCACACTCGCTTGCCTGGTCACCTGTGCGATGAGAACGCCCGGATACGGCTCAAGCGAAAACGCGGTGTTCATGTTTGGTGTTGTGCAGTTGTTGCACGAAAAGTCCAAAGATCAAACGCTCAAGACATCTTAAGACCAGATGAAGGCTAGTACCGACCATCTTGAGACCACAACCGCAACTTACTGACAAGTGCATTAGATATCATCAGATCATACCAGTAGAAGCACTTCCGAATGCCTCTCCAAAAAGGTCTGGACCACGAAAAGAGAGCCACATTTTGATGGAGGTTGCCAGGGTGGAGGAGATTTTGCGTAGGCCTCGCAGTTGTCCATGCATTCCAGAAGCCTGACATTCCAAATATGGGATCAAATTGGAGACATGCCAACGCGCTCTTGAGCTGTGGCAAGATGTGATGATTGAAATCCATCTGAGAAGAAACACTGGCAGCTTGGATACTTGGATGTTCCGAACCACACACTCTTTGGTTTAAGCCAAGCCATCGAGCCATCGCAAGTCCGGCCTGTCTTCCAATACATCACTGACCCGCAAGCAGTGATCCAGGCAAGCCTCTCGCGGGCGCAATAAAGGCTCAGGCGGAATAGGACGAACCATAGCAATAAAGGAAATCCTTCGTGAGTGGAATCGAAGTAAATTCAAGAAATTGCCGAATGCTGAGAGGGATTCCTTCAAAAGAACTTCTATAAGAAGTAAGACAAATATAACAAAAGCACAGAACTTTTTTAGCTCTCACTCTGGGTCTCTGGGTCTTCAATTGATTTCAATTGAAACAAGCAGCTTCTCATGTTTTGCGCTTCACACGTTCGTGGGGCCGTGTGGGGGGAGACGTTCTAAACAGCATGACGACGACGGGTCTCCCACGATGCCGAGACGGAAAGGCACTAAGCTTGGCACAGCAGTTGATGAGGCAACTAGAGCAGTGATCAAAAGCCTCAGAAAAACTGCCAAACAACAGCGTGATAGAATTTTCTTTAGCTCCTTGAACGTGTATCGTGTCTCTCTGCTTGAAGACCTCTATAATAAAAAGCCTTGCCTAGAACCTATAGAAATGTCATTTGTTTCCAGAAACATGTCCTTCTCAGTCGTTGATATGGACTTCGTGTCGCCACTGGCCACGCCCTATATACTCAACCATGCTCACCGCAGGTCGGTGTCAGCCGGTGTCATCGGCCGCCCCAGCTGCGACCGAGCGGCGCCAGGGTGCCACCAGGACCCAGATATGAGGCCAAGCGAATCTCGGCGAGTTCGGGGCGTTCCATCGGGACGGGCAAGGGGTTCTCGGACGCGACACGGCCGACGAAGAAAGGACCAGAAACGGACCTTTCTTCGGACCCTTTCACGGAAACTGCGACCGGTCCGAAGTTCGACCTTCCCAGCTTGGTCGAAAAGTCGAACCATCGCAGCCCTGGTCTGTTCGAACAGCTTGCAAACTCGACAAGATTCCCAGCTTGTCACGGAGCAACATGAAGGATGCCGGTGAACTGAACACAAATGTCATGTGGACAGTGTATCTCGAGCTTTGCGCGCATTGGTTGAAATCAGATATTTTCAGTCACCCAAAAGCAAAAGATGCAAAAAGAAGCACAGAGACCACCACGTCCTGCTTTCAGGGTCGAACGGGCGTGGGTTGTTCATCAATGGCTTCCTTGATGTGCCGCCCATGCCTCAGGCGCTTTCCGCGTGTCGGAAGCGCTCCACGCGCCCAAGCTGCGCTTGTTCGTGTTGATGTTCGTTTATGTTCGATTGGTGATGACGATGGAGGGAGAAAAAGATCAAACCAACCCTACACAGAAACAAATGGAACTTGGAAACAAGTGGAACTTGTGAAGGAAAAGAGTGTTCCGTGCTTCTACTTTCAGGTTCCGAACAAATCATCTTCTGTGTGGATCCGGGGTGAATTTGTCCCACCTCCCTCCTTCACCAGCACCATATGCAGCCGTGGCGGCATCTGCAGTTCCGCCAGGGATGGCAAGGGATTCCCCGTCGCCGCCGGCATGGCGAATGCCAAGCGTCTAACCTGGTGGAAGACGTGTCTGGGCTTGTCGAGACGTGTCAGGATGTGGTGAGGAGAGCGCTTGCCGTCTTTGCTGATTGGGCACCTCGCCAAGGTGAGTGTTACGGTCGCAGGAACGACTGGTGTCGTCGCAGGAACGCCAGCAGGACACGGTGTTGGATCCTGAAAGACACGGCGTTAGATCTTCGCAGTGCTCCAAAGAATTACTATCCTTCGTCAGTTGGGGAGTTCAATGGTTCTTGTTGCTGTTTGCTCTCAATGTCGCATGGCCCCCCAAAACCTTGGTCACTTCTTGAGTCCAAAACAGCTGGCGGTTGGGCCGCGGCGGACCAGTGGTCGGAGGACATCCGGCATGAAGAACTGGTGACCAAGGCGAGCGGGGCAAATCGATGGCAATCTTGGGGACCGCAAAGAGTGTGTTTCTCATGGCCGCTCTGACAGGTAAACTAAGACTCACTAAGACTCGCTGTCAGACTGCCCATGGTTTCCATGCTGTCAGACTGCCCATGCTGTCAGTAGGTGTCTGGCCGGATTGGCCATCTTGATCCTCCGGAACTTGGGTTCAGTGGGATTCTCCTCGACATTCCTCGCTTTCCAAGGTGCAGTGGCACACGAAACACTCTGAAACACTCTTTGAACGTTTAGTGGGACTCCAAGGAGCTTGCAGCCACACTGGATTGAACATGATTGAACAGCAGAATTCAGAGCTCCCAATCCCGTGGGCGGGGTGGACTTCTCTGTCATTCTCTCCTCGGGGACAGACTTCCTGAGCGTTCCTCAGGACGAGACTTGGTCATCTTGAGGAGCATCTGCAAAGCGGTTCTTCTCACCTGGCCCACCCAAAGGGTTCATCCCTGACTACGGCAGTTCGTTGGTGCAGTTTTGGGCATCGAAGCACAAGAACTGCTCCCCTGACAGAACTGGCCTCCAAAATCGATCGAAACTTCCCGTTTCCACCCACGGTTTAGCCTTCCACTCTCCGGACACCCATCCGCGGTGATCCCCACGTCGCATTCGCTGTGTGACGCCTCCGTCTCATTCTTCGCCAGCTCCGCAAGGGCCGCCTCTGGAAAAAATCCATAGGAACCAATGATATCCTGTTCGGAAGACTAGTAAAGAGGTCAGTTTGGTACCATATTATACCTATTGATTGGTTGTGCACTTGGGGGTATCCCCTCTGTTAATCAACCAACCAGTAGTAAAATCTATGATGTTAACAAACCCAAACCAACTGGAAGGTCAAGGCCACCCATGAGCACGACGCCAGGAGTCAAGGCCTCAAACGGTGCGAAGACCTACATCTCCAAGCACCAAAACGATCGGTTGCAGGATGGCTTGGAAACCCTCTGCAGAACGGATGATCCTCCTAAGCCGGGGATGATCCTCTTACAGTGCAACTTAGTGAACAAGGTGAGCGACTTAGTGGACAAGCACCTGAAAACCGACACAATCACTTGTCACCTTTGGTTGTTGAGAGACATGTCTCCGAGCAACAAAGATCAACATGAACAACCTCAAGTGCCCGGGTTAGGATATCCAGACTGTTTCTCATTCGGAGAAGAGTCACACACTCTCTGCCAAAACAAAGCAAGACGAACAAGATTTCTCAAAAACACTCCAGCTCGCTGGGAGAGACCATGAACACCGTGAACACCTTGAACACATCCTTCACCAGGACATCTCAAGTGGTCCCATCGCGCCGTGGCGGCCTGCAGCTCTCCAGGCTCATCTGCTGTGACCGGCGCAGGGACTGGTGCGGCACTGGGCATTGAGGCCTCGGGCTTGCCGGACCGGTGGACAGGCGCCTTGGGGTACATTCAGTGACCAGTTCATGGGGAAAGGACCCTGGTTTCATGCGACGCCTTTGGATTCTTTGGTGTTCAAACGTCCGCTTTTCGCAGAAGTGCGACACTGGACGTGATCCGGAACAAGATTCTCTGCATGCAGAGGCCACGCTCATGGTTTTCTTGGTATATCATACTTCAGAATTTGGGCTTGCCACTTATTTGATGGACCACCCGCCCCGCACGCACCTGGGAGCCAAAAGGATTCATAGAAGCACCTGCCAGGTGGCTGGTCGATGGGTGAGCTGGAGCAGTCCGGAGAGCGCTTGCAGCTGCCTAGAGCCCCAGCCATCCAGACCCACAGCGCGAGAAAGATCAAATCTATAATGAGTAATGCAAGACCAGTTGCCTAATGGGTCAGGCGTTGTGACCCAAAGCTTTTGCAGCTTGGGCATTCCAAACTTTGGTGGTTCGACTCCACCCTGGTCTGTTGTTTTTTGTTGAGCAGCTAACATAGGTTATACTTGCACGAGATCCCCACTGGATAATGCTCCTAGCTGCATCCTGGCCATTCAGGTCGATATACTGTAAGTAGCAATAACTGTTGAGGTGGATATCCTCACGCTAACGTAAAACTGATATATAACGTTTTAACCGCAATCAAATCAACAAGAGAAGCGACGGTTTCAACCGTCTGCCAGACCACTGTCTGTCCCCACCCGATGAACAGGCCTCCAGAGCGCATGCTGCGCTCCATGTTCTCGATCATCACTTTCAAGGTCTCGAGGACGGAGAGAGGGCGTGGAAAGACTTTTAAAGAACTCAGGAGCCAAACAAGATGGTGAAATTGGTGGTTGATTGGAGTCGCAACTTATCTAGGTCGGGTCACATTTCACACCCACAAAGTAGAGGAAGGCGCGAGGAAAATCGACCCGGAACTGGTACATTCTCACACTGAAAGGTACATCGAAAAGTCACTTGCAGGTCGCAACATCTTCCTGCCGCTTCCTGAATAAAAGAAGATCAATTCATGGGGCCTTACAAGTCGTCACTGCGTCTTCTCTGAGGAAAGCTTTAAAAGATTGCCGCGGCTGCCATGCAATGTCCTTCAAGTCCAGATCTACCCGCCCGTCTGTCTCAGCCTGTCCCATGTCTCAACCCATCCGTCTTCTCAGCCTGGCCCTGTGGCGTCGAAAGCGCTTCCTCTGCGACGTTCACGATGCCACTCGGCAAGCCTGTGAAGGGTTGGTCGTTCGGAGCCCAGAGTCATTGGCAAACAAGTTTGGCATCACAGTCGACGAGCAAAATGTGTTCGGCCGCCCCGCCTCTGAATGTCTAACTATTCAGCTACACATGTCTGACATGTCTTCAGGGTTATTGTCCAATCCTCAAACCTTTTTCTAGGTCTCATCAAAACCCTATCAGACCCGGACCAACAGGTTACTGAAACCATTTCATGCAAAACCAAATCTTGCTGATAATGCGTCCGTCCCAAGCCTTTGCCATCCAAAAGGAATTTGGCCACGTCATCCGCGTAGTGGTTGCCTGATCCAGTCTTGTAAGAAACCATCGAGCTTCAGGGCTCACTCTTCAAGGAAAACGGCCATGAAAGTCACAAATGATTGCGAAAGTGCAAAGAACGACAGTTCTAAGAACAGAACCCATTTCGGGGCGTCCTTTTGTGTCTGATCCAAAAAAATGACTGAGATGAAGGCAGTTGTGCTTGAGCAGGTCATAGTTCTGCTCTGTGTGCTGTATAGAGAGGACGTCGCGAATGTACCTTGGGATTGTGGGGGTCTGCTCTGGAGCTGGAGCTCCTGCTCTGGAGCTCCTGACCACTTATTGAAGGTGTTCCTCTTAAGCATTGTGCAATGTGTCTAGGTTTTGTGCGTGGTAGACCAACCACATCTTTTCTTGCCCCAACTTGTACAGGATATGGAACAAGTGGTACAAGCGTACTAGAAGCACTTTCTGTCACCTGTCCCACGTGCCGGTCTTGTGTGTTTGCGTGTTTGTCACGAAAGATGCACTGCTGTCTTGCCCCTGGTGTTCTTTTTGAATCCAACCTTGACAGAGCTATGCTGTTCTCCAATCGTCACGCCATCTCAAAATCCAACAGTTTGTTCCCTTGGAACTCCAACTGCGGGAAAGATCAATGTGTGCATATCTCAAGGAAATCCAGCAGAGCTGAATACTAGGGAGAAAGGATGCTTCAAAATCCAAACGCAGCGCACTCCCGGCCCACCCGCATCAAAAGCTCCTTGCCTTCTGTTCGGTAGGAGTTGCTGCTTGGGTCTGTAGCCTTGAGCTCTTCAAAAAACAGTCCTTCCGTTCCCCACAGCGAGCGCCCCCCGCCGGGGGCGCTGTGGATCCGATCCTCGAGCTCTTCGGCCGGGCCACGCTTCGAGCTCCTCACAGGTCTTGGAAGTCTCACCCAGTTCTAAGACCTGCGAGGAGCTGCGATGGGAACTGGGACCCAAAACGACTTGAAAAGCACCAATCTACCATAACACACCGCTGAAAAAGCATCAACTCCAAAAGAAGTACATGCTTTTCAGCGGGGATCCTTGGTGCTTTCTTCAAAAAGGATTGTCCTATTCACTGTCTGTTCTAACAGGTTGCTTGGCATTTGTTTTGGCATCCCGATTCAGCGCCCTGAACCAAGGGCAAAATCTGTCCTTTCATGCAGAGTCAATTCGCAATTTCCCACTTTTGTGGGGCTGTTTTCCAGATCCGAGGTACCAGTAGTTCTCAAAGGACAATTCCTCCAAGTCTGATGGACGCAGGCTTGTCCATTTTCATCCCCTGCCTGCGCCACGGGCACTGGTACCTGGAAACATGACAATCTCAAAGTCTGCTGTCGACAGCACTGTTGTTGAAGGAGGTCTGGAGACTTAGTCAGGCATCACCTGGAGCTCCAGGCTGTGGATTTCTTCTATCACCTAGCAGGTAGAACACAACCCCAAGGAGTACCGTAACTTGTCTCGTGCTGAAGATGAGGCATATGGAATCTAACATATTACAACATATTCAATCTTTAGAAAAGTTGTGCATAAGCGCTAAGTGCTAGTTGCTGCATCGCTTGCGTCACTTGCATTACATAATTGCGGCAAAACAAATCGAGCTCTAGGTTAGCTTTCTCAGCACACTTTGCCACACCTCAACATGCCACCTGTCCATTGTCTGCAGCATACTTGGCATACTTGGTCTGACAATTGATTGCCCACAATAGGGGTTGTGCCGCATTTTGTCTGGTCTGATGGGACAAGTACCCTCCTGAAACGCAGGAAATCCTGATTGCAACATCCGGCTCCAAGATCATTCTTTCAGGAATCAGGGCTGAAAGTCGTTGTAAATTACTCTTTCTCCATTGCCCCCCCCAACACCTCAAGTGTATGTATATTGTTGAAGTTTAATGGGTGCATGGTGTCAAAGACCTACTGGCTCTCTCTTTCACCAGCACACTAAGCTTTGCACTCAGTTTTTGTGCAAAGCTTGGTGCAGTTCACGTTGTCAAAGAGATTGAAGGCCAAGACCCAACGTCCCCCCCCCTCTGCGCACGGATTGCCCAGGAATGCCAGTCTGAGGACCTCCTCCAAAGAAGTACCTTCATGGCTCTGCAAAGTCCAATCCACCTAAAGCTGTCTCAACTTCCCCCCAAAAAAAATCACGACTGGTGGAAACTCCAAGCCCATGAGTTTGGGATATGTTTACACTGCACTTGGATTTGCTGGCGGAAAGCAGGCAACACATTCTGTCGGAGTATGCCGCTGCTAAAGTGCTTGTTGGAGGGCGTTCTCGGCTCCACCAATCGCTTTTTGGGCACTCTTTGCCAAAGACCGCGATGCCCGTGTGGGGTACTATATCGATCTTCTTGCCTGCAAGGAGACCGCCAAGATCCTAAACAGCAAATGTTCACACATGGGCACCAAGAGAGATCCGTCTTTGCTGGCGAAGGCAAGGCAAGAGTGCTGGAATATCAAGTTTCGTGACCTCCAGGATGCACTTCTTCTATCCGATCTGCCCTGTCTTTTCCCTCGCTTCACCGAGATGTCACGAGCTGGAGCTGGACATGTACAACAAAATCTGCTATCAAATCAACAAGCCCTGGGATAAAGATCGCAAGGCTATCGGCTCTCACAAACTGAGAATTGCTGTCCCTTTCTGAGAAACCAAATGCGATGTCACGAGAACGTTGACACTGATCTCCAGTCTCATGCAATGGAGGCCGGCGGAGGTTGGCGTGGTCACGTTCTTGGTGTATAGCTTTGAACTATAGTTCCATATTTTCTGACTAAATATGCCTGATGCCACTGCAATACTGATGTTGCACATTTGACCATTCATGATCTCAGTTCGGTGTGGCCAAGGAAGGTTATGCAAAGAAGGGCAGCCCAAACAACGAGGCTCCAACAAAAACTACCACAACAAACCACCAACTCATGCTTCGTTGAGCCTAGTCACCATTTAATTCCATGTTGGAGCCCCCTTCTTTGGGCACCCCCACGCTTCGTTCATTGGCCAGGTAAACAACCTCTGATGCACTAGGCGGTTCCTAGGCCGTGACACTGACGCTGGGGTCGGCCAGGAAGACGCCGCCCTGGAACCGGGCCCAGCCGGAGGCTTGATCCGGAGTGCTGGCATTGGCAATCGGCTCCTGGGTTCGATGGGCTTCGAACAAAACCACTGAGCCAGCTCTGTTTTGCTCGAATTCTGAAAAAGCGTTGGAACTTACAACTTGCAGGTGAGGCGCGCTGTAAATAAATCCAGCTTCACACTGGAACTTCCATCCCTTAGCTGCAACATCTGCAACCCTCAAAATCACCTGCAGGCAAATCGAGCCCTAGTTGGCCATCCGCAAGGACCCGGACCCGTGCTTAGCACAAAAGACGCCAAGCAGGGGGGGGAAGTTGCTCTTTTTTCAGAAAGGTCTCGGAACCTGTTTGGAAAGCTGGGTCACTATCTACTGCTTGACTACAAGAATGGTCCATGGTCTCTGTATGTCAAGGACCACTGCGCCTCCACTCTTCTGCCACGCTGTAGCTGAGAGACCACGGGGGTGCCACCAAGTGGCTTTAGCATCGGGGCCCCCAACAAACCAGCGATTGTTGGTACCGCAATAGAGCCATAGCTCTTGTTGCTTCTGCTTCCAGAGCGGCCTCACATGGGTTTAGGGTGGCCAGCTTTGCTCGCAAACTCAACAAAAGACCATGACCCCCACAACCCCCCCTTTCAGAAAGCCGGTGCAACCTGTGAAGTGCTTGTCATTTGTGCCAGTGATACCCTGTGAACTGCGCAGAAAACTCTCCCACCGGCCTTCCATTGGGACACTCACCGGGCACCAAGCAATAATCTCCAGAGATGGCTGGTAGTCCAGGAGTTACTGGACAGGTCACCTGGAGCTTTGGCATCGAAAGTTGGTCGCATAAGAGTCTCCGACTGGGCAAGGGGTTCCAGTTCGCTGCTGGTGTTCATATTGTTCATTCCTGCTGCTGTAGGTACTAGCTCTCCTCTCCTATTGACTGACTTGCTTGGGCAAGGCTATGACATGGTAGGGCCTATCTCCAGGACTGTCGTCCAAGAGGAGCCTGGACAGTCATCTGGCCAAGTTGTGGTCATTCCTCAACATCAATACCGTCAATACCCGCTTTCATGGATTCCTTACGGGACTGTGGACCAAAGAACAACAAATCTATCGAGTGCGCGTTGCAATAGCACATCTCATCGGCAAAGGGTGTTACCCGGTGCCTTCAAGATCAACACCCGATGATATCCCCGAAGGAGATCCCATGAACCACCGACGCGTTGCGGGTTGCTCGTGTGTTCCAACGCAGAACCCCCAAACTGGGACTCACCAACCCTTATGACGCCCTGCCCCGCATCTCCCCACCTTCAGTATTGCTGGTGCTGCTGTTGGCTTATGCGACTCCTCACTGGATCCACTCTCTGTAGAGCTGGACGGCGCCGGTGCTAGGAAGGCGGCCGGCACCGGCACCGGTGCTGGCACAGGGGCCGTCGGCACCGAGCTCATGCTCCGGCAGGGGCTCACCGACCGACTGGCCACACGCACTGGAGCCCAGGGTGGCGGTGCCGGGGACGCCACGCGCGAGCACATGGGGCGAAGCAAGGGTCCAGCGGCGGTGCGAGGCTCCGAGATGGGGGAACACGGCTGGGACTTGGTCGGCCACAATGGGACTGGTGGAGACCCCATGGGGCTCCAAGATTGTCCATGACCGTTCACGGCGTTCACGGAGTTCCGAATGGAGTCAATGCCCTGCTTCACCGCTTGCAGATCCGCACTTAGCTTATTCTCCACGCTCTTCAGGGTCGAAGGTCCCTCCTCCTTCCCATGCTCCTCAATCTTGAAACTGCGCAAGTCCACAGCAATTAACGTCAGGCGCTTCTCCAAATCGAGCATTCTCTTCCCCGCCGCACTCTGCGCGGATGCTTGAACCTCCTGGTCAGGATTCAGCCCTTGAAACCTGTGCTCAAAGGGCTTAAAAACACAAACCCAAGTAGAAACAAAGACACCTTCCAGCATGGAACAAGAAATCTTAAACAGCCCCTCTAGAAGGCTCTTCAGGTGGACTTGCGCAACACCCAGCCAGGTGGACTTCGAGATGTTTCATGTTCTGGAGGAGTAGGTTCCGACAGACCACCGCAGCGTCGCAGACCTCCCGTCGCCCGGCCTGGAAGGAGCGCAGCGTCGCTTCGATCTGCTCGGCCCGCTGCTCGTTCTTCTCGGTCCTTCGAAACGTCTCGGTCTGAGACCTGGCGCCCGGAGGCAGCCGGAGGCAGAACGGCCAGGTCCAACTGGGGAGGGATCGCCAACCAGGTGGGAGTTCTCTGGCCCTGGTACTGAGAAGGGCATAAGTGGTGAAACAATATGCAAGTAAACTTTTAAACAGTAGATTGATAGCACATATAAATGCAAAACAAGGACTTGAGGTCCAAGTTCATAATGACCTCTTTTGTTGCAACGGTGCTCTCTTTCGTAGGGCCATGCCCCGTTTGGGAGCTGTTTTAGCACGCGACTTGGGCGAGTGAGATGCCTCTTAGAAGAAAAACGACTCATCCTCAAACCCCGACAAAACCACTCCTCTGATTCATGGCACCTGGAAAAGGAAAGAGATTTGGAACTTCACCTGAAACAGAACACCCCTCCCAGCAAGACAGTCGGACTCTCGCGCCTCTCAATGCGGCTGAGCAGGGTGGACTGCAGCTTTTCCAGGGCCTCTTCTTGTGACTCCAGCTGTTGCTGCACTTGCTCCTGCAAAGCCGTGTCCTGTTGTCGCAGGAAGCTCTGCAAGTCATGCTGCATCTGTTGAAGCTGAGCATTCACGTGCTGCTGGATCCGCGTCTTGACCTGGAGGTCGTCGTCTGCACGGTGTTGGCCAAACAAAACCACTCTGGTTCTGTTGGAATTTGGAGCTCAATCGAGCTGCAACTTCAGATTCGCCTAGTGAAGGACAAACCGATGAATTCATCTAATCTCACATTGATGCTGAATGACTGAATGAGAAGGCAAACAGTTTCACTTCTGTCTTTCCGCCCAAATCCCTTCGATCCCTTTGACACCTACCCCCACCTCATCAACCTGATCCTTGGTGCTTTTCTCTTGCAGCTGCAAGCGCTCCTTGCCGAGCTCGCTCTCCCGGTTCAGTTGCTCTGCGAGACTTCCTCGCTCCGACCTCGCGGCGACCTCCTCTTTTTCGCATTCCGAGACTTTCCCACTCACCTCTTGCAGCTGGGCCTGGAGGGGTTTTCGCACCGAGCGACACCCGAGACGGTTGAAACGCACGGACGGTTGAAACGCATGGAGCACGAAGAGCACGCATGGAGTGCGACGACAGGGGGGTGTGAGTCATCCAATTGGATGAGCCTTTCTGGGAAGGTTGACATCCTATTCTGCTCCACGTTGTCATGAGTCATGAGGTCCATGAGGTGCTGCAATGGAACAGCTCAGTCCCCAAGTGAGACACCTGCAAGTGAGACACAAAGCTTCCGGGCATGTGAACCAACCCCCCTCGGCACCTCCCCACTTGAAGTAATGCAGTGTCCGTTGTTGTTGAACTGCTCGTCTTTGCTTGACAGAATCATGCTTTAAGAGTTGATCTGCGCAAGTACAAAGTACAATTGACCATATTTAACGCATATCTATTGCAATGAACCAGCAGGGATGGGGAAAGAGGCACTGGAAGAAAACTGCCACTCCTTGTGTGCCCTTAGTTCAAACATCCCTTTTCATCCACAGCCATTGTCTCAAGCCCCTGTGAGTACCTCTCGATATCTACTTGAGAAAGCCCGCAACCAGCCAGTTTCATCCCCTGTTGCCGGGGATTCAAGTCCATCCAACCAGATCGAGTCTGTCCACTGTCCATTCGGCGGTCCTTGAAACTCTTCAGGGTCTCAGCCACCTCTGCGACTGCAGTCGAAGTCGTAGAAGCCTTCCTCGGGTTTTCGGGGTGTTCACTAAGATTTCAAGCTGGGAGCTTTGGCTTTGACCAGCCAAAAATGCGAGCGAACAAAGGAAGCAAGCTGCGTTTGTCTTTAGAAAAGCCACCTTCTTGAACAGCTGGTGCAACTAGTGTAACTATATAGTCGTTGGTGTTAGCTTCTCTTCTTTCTGGGAGGTGATTATCTACACAAACATATCGTTCTCCAAGTGCAGACGAGTTTTGTGTGGCCAAAATCCCAAGCAGGTTGACATCAGCGATGAGGAAGTCCATAGATTCACCATGCTTCACAGCTGTTAAGGAATTCTTCATGTGGCGGAAGGCTCAAACTTCATGGAACTCCACCAACGGCAACCAACTATGTTCAATGCTAAACCAGCAAACACCTTTAGATGACACCCTTTGTGTTTATCTTCACCACGGAGTAAACACCATCGACCCTTCAGACCCTGTCGGTGTCTTCGAACCGGGCGTCTTCTCCAGTTCCTCGAGCTGCGCTTCTTGCGCCACTCGAGCCTCCTCGATTTGGGTCCACTTCCGCTTCACTTCGTTGAGGCCCTTCTCGCGCTCCACCTGGCACGGCGACACAGGGTGGGCGGGCGGCGTCAGAAGCTGCGCAGCTGAAGCTGCGCAGCTGGGCTTTGTGTAATCATAATTTCTTCAGCGTTAGTCACTACGAATGTATGGATTCAACATATGTTTCACAAAGAAGGTCAATAAGTATATATAACTAAACACGCTGTCTGTGGTGAGTGAAAGTATGCCAGAAACCGTGCCAAGTGCTTCTCGGATCGTCATCATACTTATATAACAAGTTGCTTGCACTCGGACTCTCCAAGATGGACGTGGCAGCGAGGAGTTCACGAGTCAATCAATCAATCAATCAATCAATCAATCAGTCAATCAGCTTTGCAGAGTTGATGACACCCTCCACACAACGATAAAGACACAAAACTAGGACGTACCAACTCGAAACAACACTCAGCTACCTTAAAATAGCATTTGCAGAGGCAAGACTGGGGTGCTTGATAACAAAAAGCACAATTTTCAGCAAGAAAAAACCACCCAGGCATCACGCAGTGTGTCTAAGTAGACCAGCTTTCATCCTCAGACCGGTCGCCTTCTCAAGCCTCATGTCCGCTTCGAGGGGATCCATTCGGTCCTCAAGCCGGTCGATGGAAGAGCGGTCAGTGAGAAACACGGTCGTGGAAGAACGGTGGAGCCTTTGGGCGGAGCCTTTTCAAACCGAACCATGCCCAATCAAAGAGCCTTTTCAATCAAACTCCACCTGGCAGTAAGGAACCCTGAAGAGTGTGCAATCACCTGGTGAATGAAAGGGTGAAAACTGAAAACACGTGAAAACAATAATTGTACAAAAGATTTCAATAAATCAAGGCTCAAGACTCAAGAATGCACAAACCACTAGAAACCCCGTGGATCAGGTGGGATAAAAGAAGTGTCTGAAGCTGTCAGGCCCTGTCTGGCAGTCCTGGAGGCCTCGAATGTTGGAATCCAGGGAGGCTGCCTCATCTCGATACTTGAAACTGTTCATCTCGAGACATGGAAATGGATCAAACTTTTTGGTAGACTTGTCTTTGTCATGCTTTCCCCTACCCATTGGTTTCATCGGAATAAGATGTTTTTTTAGATAGTCATATCCATGTGAGTACTTCCGCAGCACTTTGAGGATCCAGGGATCCAGCCTGGTGTTGCAAGGAGGAAGTTTGCTCCACGTGTTTTTCCAGCGACTCATGCTGTGCTTTCTGGGTTGCTCTCACACCCTCCAGCTCCTCCTGGCAGCCAAAGTTAGAGAAGTCGAAAACCAAGGGTTTTTGCTTCTCCAAGCAAAGCCAGACCATCTTGAAACAAGTCTGGGGATGAACGCAAGCTGCGAGCAAAGCCATCCCGAGCACTTGGATGAATGCGGAACAGAGTGCGACGCTACTTTCAAGTCTTGCCTGTGTGGAGGGTCTTGCTATGGAAGACTCGGTGGCATATTGAAAGTCAACTAATATCAAAGTCTATTGAACTCAAAGGGCCAAAGTACAGGTTTGTTGATGTGCGGAGGAGAACAAACAGTTCTTCATTTTAAAAAATAGAACAGCATGTTGACCCACTGACATCCCGAAGACCGGTCGCCTTCTCAATCTTGATCTCTGCCTCTAGGGGATCCAGACGATCCTCCGACTCTGCTTCCCATGCCGTCGCAAGTGATCCGATCAGCACTGTTGTAGTGAATGTAGCACATTCCACAATGGTCGACATGTTCAAAAAACAATAAGAATAACACTAGATTCTATCATATTACAGGTTCTATCCACTAAACAGAAGGCCCAGTTCAATGAAGCTGGCAGTAAGGAACCCTGAAGAGTGTGCAATCACCTGGTGAATGAAAAGGTGAAAACTAAAAACACGTGAAAACAATAATTGTACAAAGATTTCAATAAATCAAGGCTCAAGACTCAAGAATGCACAAACCACTAGAAACCCCGTGGATCAGGTGGGATAAAAGAAGTGTCTGAAGCTGTCAGGCCCTGTCTGGCAGTCCTGGAGGCCTCGAATGTTGGAATCCAGGGAGGCTGCCTCATCTCGATACTTGAAACTGTTCATCTCGAGACATGGAAATTGAACAAACTTTTTGAAGTAGACGTGTCTTTGTCATGCTTTCCCCTACCCATTGGTTTCATCGGAATAAGATGTTTTTTTAGATAGTCATATCAATGTGAGTACTTCCGCAGCACTTTGAGGATCCAGGGATCCAGCCTGGTGTTGCAAGGAGGAAGTTTGCTCCACGTGCTTTTCCAGCGACTCACGCTGTGCTTTCTGGGTTCCTCTCACACTCTCCAGCTCCTCCTGTCAGCCCACTTGCTGATGTTTTTCCAAGTTTCAACCCAGAATATGTGTTTTTCCACGCAGTTGAATCATCTTGAAAAAGGTCATGTTTTAAGAGTCTCTTACGCACATACTTTCTAAAGCCCTGAGTTTGATGAATGTGGAACAAAGCTTGATACTACTACTCCTCAGCTGCCAGCTCTCCCTTTCAGAAAAATTATTGCGACTACGGTTCAAAGATAAGGCACCCAAAAAAAAGAGAACAATCCTCAACAGCTGGACATGAATTTGTTGATTGAGCACTGGCAACACTCGGCATTTGTCAACAAAGATTCAACGTTTGCAACCGTATTGGCAAGTGGGTTGTGTGTATGTCAATGTGACGTGCCTGTGTGTGTGTGTGTTTGTTGAACACCACTGAGGTCAAAAGCAACAAACCCCCTAATGTACCATGCGAGGGTATTGACCATTAACCCGGCAATACGTCGCACATGTGCCCACATAGGCGCAAGCGTGATGTCACTGCAACAAGCAAATACCCGGGAAGTTCTTCCGGAACCGGCCTGCCAGCAAGTTAGCACAACAGCTGGACCCCATTTCCGCACTTCAGCGTGACAATGAGTGAGCATGTCAGTGCGACCATGCCAGCATGACAATGTGTCAGCATGGCAGCCTAACAACTTGCCAGCGTGACACCACGCCAGCATATAACAATATAAATCATGTCAGCGTGTCGACACATCTGCATGCCGGCATCTGATCTATATGCCCAGCACACCAACATGGCACCATGTCAGCTTATCGGCGTGGCAACACCTTAGCGTGTCAGCAATAAACGTGCTAGCTGGTTCGCAAGCACCGCATGGTACACAGCATATCAGCAAAGTGCTCCAGAACTTCCACCAGAACCTCATCCGGAAGCTCCGGAACCACCTTTGCAACCTCCTCCGAAACCTACTCCGGCACCTGCTCCCCAACTTGCTACAGGAACTTGCTCCGGATTCTGCTCGGGAACCTGCTCCTGAATCTGCTTCAGAACCTGCTCCGGAACCTGCTGCGGAACCTGCTCCAGGACCTGCTCCAAAGTCTTTACTATGGCTGAAGACCCTGAAGCTTTGCTGCTGGGGGAAACTGGATTCTTGAAGACCTCCGGACCTTCAGGTCGAACTTTTGCCCTGCAACCTGAACCGTGCGCTGGCTCCTTCAATGACGAGGCTTCCTCGGCCTCGGTGCCAATTGAATCATCGGTTCTGGGAATCGGGGGTTTGTTCTTTGTACCTAGGATGCCCGCAGGTATAGGGGGGAATCTTCCAGTTTGGGAAATTATATAAGTCCTGAAGAATCTCTTGAACAATTCCTGAAAGTCGGAAGGTAAAAAAACCTCCAGCTCGGCCCGAGTAAGAAACAGAGCGATGCTCTGTCAACAGATGAGTAACTGAAGATGTATAGTAGATCCTGAATGGACCTCATGTTTTTGGGAATCAATGCTTACGGAAATACGTTTGATGGTAGAATCCGACTTTGCCCAGTTCACCCACCTCCGGTTCCGACAACTCCCATCCAATCCGTTTGCAAGGCACGCTTCTCGCAACGAGGCTTTGGAGCTCGGTGACCTTGCTGACGAAGTCCTTCCGAAGATCTGCCTGACAATCCTGGCGCAACGAGCCGCTTTTTGCTAAGCGCAACGTGCCAGGCTGAATCCTGGAGCCGAACGCGGGACAAAAAGTGTCCCATCTGAAAGCACCCAAAAGGAAACCACGCTGGAACAAAAGAACAAACTCCATGCACAGGTGATCACAGGTGTTCATATTCTTGGTTTGTTATATAACATGCCATATAATCTTGGGAATGGTTGCTAGTTGCCATCTACTCCCACCAGACGCCCTTGAGCTCACTAGCATGAGATGGGATCTTCGCCTTCAGCAGAAGCTCTTCTCGCTGGGCCTGCAGCGCCAACTGCTCCTTGCGCGGCACAGGCCAATCAGTTCGCAGCTGAAGAATGTCATCCCAGATGGGGGTTGATGAAGGTTTTACGGCATAGAACATGCATGTTGAGATAGATACTGTACAGTATATAAGAACGAATATTAAGACCGTGAGAACCGGTTTGCTCTTTCCGCGGGCGGTTGACTAATGTTTTGTGAAGCTGTTTTGCTGCTACTTCACCCCACCCCGCCCCACCCCGGCCCACCCCATGGAAAAATATTAAGTACATATAAATGATCCTTTCAACAATGATGAGGCCATCTCCATCTCATGTCCCTTCTACCAGGTACAATTAGCTTCTGATATCTGAGATCTTTGTTCAAGATCTGGTCAGACACAGATGGGCCGAATCCATTGCATTCAGCGGGGCCTGTAGATTACAAAAAGAAAGACAACGGCAAAAAGGGCATTGTTCAACTTTGGTTTCATTGCACCATTCTGCCCCCAAAACCATGGATCAACTTCGGTTTGGAGATTCAGTTTCAGGTACCCTCCATGGAGAAAGAGTTAGCCGTCCCTCCGTCCGTGCACATTTCTACAACATAAGCCAGTCATAAGCAATTCTGCCTTCCTTGAAACTAGCACGGAGGGTTGGAAAATGAGGCCTTCCACTCCCAAGCATTCTCTGAGACTGTCACCCGCACAAGCGCATGTTGTCGATGAAGCTCTTCCAGCTGCCTGATGGCGGTGGGGCTAAGAACTCATTCCTCCGCAAGTCTGGAGATTCCCGTAGTCATCCCAGTCATTCCGTTCACGTTCAGGCTGTCCAAGTTGGGTGAGCCAAGGGAACGGGATCATCTTCTAGTGGATAGAATCCACTAGAATCAGGACTCCAAACAAAATGCAAGCTGCACGAGTTCTTGTCGGCGCAACACACCCATTCACTCTGCCGAATGTTGTTGCTTCGTGAAGAGTTCGAACATGTCACACACCTGCGGTGAGGAACTTTCCAGTAATTTGTATCGTCCTCTTCTTCTGCTTCTTCTTCTTCTTCTTCCTTCTTCTTTCTTTCGTTCTTCGTCCTGTTCTTCTTCCTCTTGTTATTCTTCCTATTAATACCATTATTGTTTGTCTTCCTTTTCCCCTTCCTCTTCGTGATCTTCTTCTTGTTCTTCCTTCTTTATTTTTCTTCGTCCAGTTCTTCTTCTTCGTCTTCCTCTTCCTATTCCTGTTATTACTATTCTTATTGTTATTCTTATTATTTTTCTTTCCTAGTCATTATTTATTCTTTGTTATTTGTTCTTTCGTTATTTATTTCTTTTTTTATTTATCTACTTTCCTTCCTTCCTTCCTTCCTTCCTTCCTTCTTTCTCTCTTTCTCTCTCTCTCTCTCTCACTCTCTCTCTCTCTCTCTGTCTCTTTTTCTTTCTCTTTCTCTTTCTCTTTCTCTTTCTCTCCCTCTCTCTCTCTCTCTTTCTCTTTCTTTCTCTTTCTTTCTCTTTCTGTCTCTTTGTTTCTCTTTCTTTATCTTTATCCGTCTTTCTTTCTCTTCTTTCTCTTCTTTCTCTTTCTTTCTCTTTCTTCCTCTTGCTTTATCTTTCTTTCTCTTTCTCTCTCTCTCTCTCTCTCTCTTTGTTTCTTTATTTGTCCTGTTTTTCTTCCTCATATTCTTCTTATTATTATTCCTCTTCCACGTCCTCTTCGTCTTCGTTTTCTTCTTCTTCTTCTTTTTCTTCTTCTTCTGCTGGGTCTTGACAGGGTCTTGACCCACTCTATCTGTTCGAACACTACTATGAAGAAAAGAACTCATCATTGTTGTTCCGGAAAGAAGGGATGCTGCTGTCCCGTAGGTTCCACACGGGTTCCATGCATGAAAAAGTCCCTAGCAATGACTCGTTGGTGGAACTGAGTTGATGACCCAGCTGAGGGATCATCCGGAGACATCAAATCTCTTCGCCAAGTCTGGAAACCCCTTGGGAAGCTTAAGTCGTTGGGAAACAGTTCATCCAAAAAACTTGAAGCAGATTGTCAGATGACGACCAAGATCTTGGAGCTCCCAAGCTGGCCACTGGGCGCACTATGTACTGCATTCCACTGGGATGTCTTTTACAGAACGTCAAGTGCTGTAGGGTTTTGTCTCAATGGCTCTAATGGCTTGGAAATCTTGGATCTGCCCTGCAGAACTGAAGTTCTGGCGGTATGTCCTGCCAAACCTTTCCTCCCGGCCTGGATAGGCCACTTTGGGCCCCTTCCATTCGTTCCAAACGAGTCCTCACCTCACTGAGCAGCACAGACTGAGTGTCCCAGAAATATTCCCGCATGGCTATGTATAGGTGGAACAAAACACAGCCCATCATTGGCGAGAAGGGATTCTTTACTTGGGACAGCAGTAGTAATTCTCATGTAACCCAATCATAAGCCCAACTTGTTTGTCAAAGGAGTGAAGGAGCTCTTGGTGAGCAAAAAGCTCTAGGAACCAGCTCGTGCGCGTTCACTGCTCTTGTTAAGCTCACATGCGGGGGCATGGACGCCGCCTTGGTTTCGACCAACCCACATTGACAGACCCTGGAACTCAGCCACATCCTGATGTGCCAACTCGAGTGGCGGCCAGGGCATCTTGGGCATGTTCCTGCTGGACTGCCTGGCGACTTGGAGCGGCGGCGGTTGGAGGGGTTTGTATTCAAATAGGGAGAACTGCCAAAGAACCCCTGGAAGAAGGAAAATAGACCAGTCTACCCATTGGGCCAGGGGATATTAAAGACATACCCGCAGAAAGTGGAGTGACAACATCAACCATGGCCCACCCAGCACCAACCTGTGGTGTGACAAGCGGGTGCCTGTAGGCCAGCATCTACACGGTCGACTTCCACCTGCCTGAGAAAAGCAGCTGTGGAGGAAGACGTGTGCTTGAGAAGAGCAGGGTGACGGGGATGGTGGTACTGGTGATGCTATGGAGGTTAGGCCAGTTTATTGGCATTCCATGCTTGTGTGGGCACTCCAACCTTCAATCGGAAGAGAAAGCTGTGTGAAGTCGGTCTCGCAGAACTAGGTTGGACCAGGAGGCCATCGCTACTAGGGTGGAGGCCATCGCTACCAGGTTGGAGGACATCGCTACTATCACAAATCGAGTGTTGATCTTGGAGGCTTTGGCTCAGCCCACCACGAAAGAAAAACTGATGGAAGATCCTGCAATCTTCCCACTTTCCATCCGGACTCACCATTTCTAGGGTATCCAAAGAATCACTTCCAGTTACCCCATCAAAACTCTTGACTCGATTTCCCCGGTTTGCCTTTCCTTCAGTCCAACTCGACCGGCCTGGCTGCGCCACTTTGGGTCGCTTCGAGGCTGGCGAGGCGGGTCTTCAACTGGCGCCGGTCAGCAAGCGGAAGTGAAGGCCCTGGGGGTGGTGATGCGAGTGACGAGGCACGGGAGTCTCAGGATCTGTGGGAACACCCTAGTCTCAGAACCGAGAAAAATGGATCCTGGCAAGCTGAGAACCTCGAAGCCTTCCCTGACTTGAACCGCATCAACCTCATCCCCTCCAACCCATCTCCCAGTCCCAAAACAAGAATATCCCCCAGTCGTTCGCCATCCAACAAGGGAAACATCTCTCCCCCCATTCTCCCAGCAAGATTTGCCCCACCAGTCACCCGCCTTGAACCGTCACTCACCGACATCGCCCCATCTGCCCAATCTCCCCCCCACCAGCTGCTCCAGCTGTGACTGTCGGAGCTCCGCTGCGCTCGAGGCACGCTCCAACTCTCGATCCATGCGCAGAAAAAGGGCGCTCGTCGCCTCGCGCGGGACGTGTTGAAACCGCTGGGGTGAAAGGGCCAACATGGGTGGGTTCTGCAAGGTGATGAGCCGGTCAAAACGCTGTAGCTGTTGCAGATCTGTTGGGTAGGGTGAAGATGGCCGTGAGGGAAGGGCGGAGCTAGTGTATGGGAGTGGCAATGGTAGGTACAGGCCAAGAGTTGATCAAGGTGCAATGCAAATCCAGCATATGCCCGGCACACTCTTTGTCTCCAGTGCCGTCTCTACGACTCTAAGCAAAGGGCGGCATGCTCTTTACAAGCAAAGACTCACTAACGCAGCGCATGTCTTGCAACACAACTCTCCAACGCGCTTGCATCATTCTCTGACTCTGAGGTAAGTAAAATCTGCCCATGAGTCTCAAGAAACAGAGAGCCGACTGATTCAGGCTCTACCGACTCCGACACGCCAGCTGCAGCCCTCATGCTGATTTGGTCCTCCAGTCTTGTACAAGTGCGTAACACGGTAAGCATGTCCGATGTCATGGGTGGTAAGCCTGGCTTGACGCACACGAAACAAGCAGACCCTACAGAAAATCTGGACTCAAGCAAGGCTTTTGTTCGTCGCAGCATGAGTTTCTGAAAGACCTCAAAGCGCAGTCTCTCCATCGCTGTCTTGCCACTATCCAAGCTTTTGCAAAATCTGGCGACTCACCACGTTGTGAGTCTTCGCTTCGCTTGGGGGACCTACTATCCCCCGCCGGCGACGTCTGAAAACGACGTCCTGTAGACGAATTCTTGCCGTGGTCGAAACCGGGCGACGGTGTCTTGTGCCGACGCCCAGCACGTACCGGACGGTATAAAGAAAAAACTTGGCAAGCGGCCGGCCCCAGACCTGAAGGGTTGTCATGCTGAGAGTGCTGCATCTTTAGATCAACCGTCAAAGAGATTTTCTCTAGTGCTACATGTTCAAAGTATCTCTGAATGTGTTTCCATCGTTTGGGGTTCCCTGATCTCAAGACAAAACCTAAAAAAGTTCGGTCTTTCCTTTTGCCGCACCTGTATGTGCTATGCAGAGTAAAAAGCCAGCTGCTTGCCTCAAGCAGGCCTCAGTAGCACACTTCCTCCTCCTCCTCCTCCTCCTCTTCATCATCATCCCACTGATTCATAAACTTTGTGCAAGGGAGGGACATTTGTTGCAGGAGTTCTTCCAACCATAGGCCTATTGGCATTCGTTCTTTCCACATCTCTCTCAGGTCTCTCCAGCCAAGCGGCCTCATTTGAACAGCGTAGAGCTGCTCAAGAGCAAGGATGAATTGAAAGCTCCAACGTTGGGGAAGACTGTATTAATCTGCCCGCTTTCCAAGCCCATCCATTGAGCCACAGGCAACATCCTGACAAACTCAGCAAGGGTCAATTCTGCACAGAGGTGGTCACTGATCGTTGTTTCCACGACTCACGAGGGTCGTAGTATCACCAAGCTTTGGGAGGTCGTCCCTAAGAAGGTCGTCTCCGTGATGCAATTCGTGTTTTGTCGTGACTTGAGACAGGCACCTTCCATGCAGCCAAGCATCATGTTCTCCCAAGGGTACTTTGGGATCAAACGGCCTCTCCCTGCGTCCTGCCGGTGAGAACGTCATGTCGACGAGTCCAGCCAGGACCGAAGACTTCGGCAGAAATGCCACCCCACAGCGGTCCCTCCCTTCTGGCGGTTGGGGTGTTTCACCCTATCACCCAGGGTTGACCCCACCCCGTGTGAAGAGAACAGCAATGTACATCTTCACGTACATGTTCTTTGGCCACCCCCAGAAAGCAATATGGTTGTGGCATGGGTCTTGAGGACCTACTGTTGGTGCACGAAATCCTGTACCTCCTGGGATAGGGGAAGCCCGGCATTTACGATGTTGTTTGTTTTGCCAGGTGGTGCAGAGTGTCCTCCATCAAGAGCGTTTGCATCCTCTGTCTAGTGGACCACTGCTTTGCAACTTACATTTGTTGGACCCACACCCAAACTGGACAGAGGGTCACAAATTGGCCGCTCCCCCTGGGAGTTCCCATGTCCCCCTCTCATCTTAAAAGCACGTCACCATTGGTCGGCAGCCCTACCACCCATGCGCCTGTGTGCCTCCTTCTTTGAAGGATGATGGGAAGTCATTGTAGACACGGCCACCCTTGACGGCACCTGGTGCACCCATTTGGCAGAAAACTGAATCTGAAGCAAAAGTGTGGAGAGAGTTGGATGTTGAGCTTTAGTTCCTTTAATATGCATACTATGGGTGTCCTTTTTTGTATGGATTGCCACAAACATGCCATCAGGGGTTACCACCTCTGTTGAAATCAGCCAAGACTTGACACACTCACCTGACGCCACTTGGAACACTATCACCACCCTCCAAACAGCATCGCTACGAAGCTCTGTGGCAAGCGTGGCAAGAAGACCGTAGTAGCGCTGAGTGGCGCTGTTTTAGACGTTTCCGCAGCGAAACGGTCGAATGAGACAAAGTCCCCAAACCCTATGATACATTGAAAAAGATCGAAAAAGGTGGTTCGGGCCGTGAGACTGGGAGACAACACCCACGGGCTTCATCCGAGCCGCTGATGAACATGCCCGTTGTTCCCCCCCGGAAAGGCGGCTGAAAGACGTATAGGAATCTCGCCTCCAAGGACCATGTAATTTCCACTCCAGCCATGATCCGTGCCTTCTCCACCTAAGCGAACTCACTGGAGAAGGGCATCAAAGGTTCTGGCCAAGAACCATCAGGGCCGATGACCAAAACCAAACAAGAGTGATCACAATCTTTTCTCAACCTCTGGGATATTTCTGGTCATGCTATCTCGAATCTCAACCAAATCGAGTTTCCGGTGACTGTTTGTCAGCAAAGTGGAGAGGAAGACCAACCGGTTCCTTCGGCGTTCGGCGTCAACGTTGAGCTCCTCACTGTTGGGCGTCAAGGTCCGTGCAAAGTCTGAATGTGTCACCACGGTTGTAGAGTCAAAGATGTTCTGTGCCTGGCGCAATCCAGGTGGTGGGTGAAGAAACGATGCCAATCATCCAGAGTTCATTACATAGAACTCGGGTTCATTCATGTTCAAACCTTCTGTAGTCTCAGAATCTTCTCAGAACCCATGGTGGCTCACAACGCCCAACTCTTGGAGACGTCCATCCGACCCAAAAAAGTGTCCCATTTCGGTTCGCCTTCATCTCATTGACAAAGGAAGTCAGCGCTGAGTTCAGCTCTTGGAAGCGGTTATTGAGCTCCTGACTCACACTCGAGTGCCTCAGCGTCAGCGTCAGCTCACTCGAGTGCCTCATGGGACCAGAAACATGCCACGGTCGTTCACCCGTGTTGGACCGAAAAGAACATCATGGATGAACTGGTTGGGTTCCCACCAGCTCCTCAAAACCACTGTAGTCTACACCAAGAAGTTGAATAAGAAACATGCTGAGGGATACCATATACACATATATATATATACTGGGGTCAGATGACTTAGGCCAAAGTGGTCCGATATGACATACAGCTTTGCCAGGGAAAGTCCTAAGTCATGTAGAGGTGTAACATTTGCCATTTCAGACGTTCATGACAAGACCTCCTCCAGATTCTTGATTCACAGCCGACCGCATCAGGTGTTCTTTCAGTTTCAAGTCATCCCATCGCTCCATCCGAGACATCGCTCCATCCGGGCCACGTGTCCCAGCCACCAATCTCTACCTCTGTGAAGGACGGGCCAAACCGGTCTGTGAAGGACATGTTCGAGAAACTCCAACAAATGGCACCCCTTTCGAGAAAACCTGACGAGATGATCAAGGAAAAAAATGATGTGCGCTCTTTAGATGCAGTTCTCGGTAAAGAGGCAACACAAGACGTGCTCGCAGCTCGGAAGCTGCTACAAGTGACTGATACACACCCATGAACACAAATACAATACAAATACAGCTAACAAAAAGAATGATGCAGTAGTCTTGCTTCGTTCATCATGTTCTCTAGCAAAATGACTGACAATCCTGTGCAGGATGCGACGCTAGGATCACAGCAATGCAATGCATGTTCATCCGCCGAGCGGCATAAAAGACGTCACGCTCGGACTTCCTTCCGTGTCGAGCTGAGATCAAACGTGCCACCTGCTTCAGCTGCCTGCGCAAGCCGGTCGAAGACGGACCGGATGGACCCGACGGACCCGGTCTCTTTGGGCCGAAGGTTCAAAGGAAAGAGGAAGTGGAGATAGATACTTTGGGCCAAACGGTTTAAATGGCCGAACTTCCATCTTGGGTGTGATTGTGATAGATCTTCCAGCGCAAGAGAGAACTGGTTGGTTGGGAAGATTGACTCGATCACATTTCCACACTGAATTCGTTTGCAATGCTCAAAGTTAGCTTGACAGGGGGACATTGTGTAAGAATGTTTAAGTCTACCAGTCTACCATCCCATCGCTGGGTCGCAAGAGCACACCCAGCGAATATTAAGCTCAGAAGCAAAACCCGAAAGAAAACCACACGTCAAGCACCCAGCAGCTATGTCAACCTCATTTGAGACAGAACCAATGCATGTTCAAAAAGGGATTAACTTGCCCATCTGCATTAGGGAGACTGCGTTACAGTTTTTTACATATCTATATATGTTGTATACTGTATACTTGGCAGCCAGCATGTCCCAACCTGGAGCCCAGTTTGACCCACTTGGACACCACTGTGCCTTGACAAGTCAATCTCATTGGTTGGAAACCTTGGCTCACTCGGAAAAGCCGGGCGAGGCGTCTCTGCAGAAGATGCCCAGAACAGCGGAGGTCAAACAGCCCAGAGTCGCTCGGCTCTCCAGGTTTCACCCTAATCTACGGGTCAAAGAGAGACCATGGATCTATGACGATCTATGGATCACATCCACATCCAAAACCCGGTACCTCGGAGGCAACTGCTCGGTGCCACGTCTGCTGAGCTGGGCATTCTGCCGAGCTACGACGTCTTCAGTTTCGCAGTCTCTAGCTGGTTCCCAAGCTCCTGAAGCTGGTTTGTGCAAATTGGGTGGACTCATGACTCATGCTCTT